TGGCAACACGAAAAAATTTTGAATGGGAAGCTGAAACCATGTCTAGTCCGAATTAGTAAGTGTAAATACATCAGTTACTTGGGCGATCGACCGACCATTAGGTTTCAAAAAACTGTAGGAGACACTTGATAGGTATCAGTATGAAAATAATGCAGGATTAATTGGGTTTATTATTACATTATTTATAATGCGACCCTAAATCACATGCACTGCGCTGATCTCAGCACCTAAATCCAATCGCTTGCTCACATCGACTTTCCCATGAAAACCTTCGAACTTTTTTCGCATGTGAGTTTGGCTGCTGTTTGATGATTCTCCATCTTTGTCACGAATGTCTTTGAAGATGATTGCGCCGATTCCTCTCGAGACCATGAGATAGCTGTGCTAGGGTGTTTCCATGTGAATTAAAGTGAATTCGCTTTTTCCTAGGCGGTTTCCAGAGAAGTTTAGTAACAATTTCCCGGCTCCGGAAGGATGCGGGACGTTCGCATAGTGTATGGGATCACTACCGATGCATTAGCCGCTTCCTTTAATTGGAATCAATTCTTTACGAAAGGAGAGCAATATTACCAGAATGGGCTTCACATGGCTTCACTACACCCTTCTGTGCCGGGCACGTAATGCGTATGAATGACAACCGATGGACAAGAGCCATTAGTGACTGGATTCCTCGGGATGTCATGCGTACTGCAGGAAGACCACCGACCTGATGGTCAGAGTTTTTCATGAAAATCCCAGAAGAATGGTATGATGCTTAGCGTGTCTTTACAGCAAGCGGAATCTACGGGACTACTCTTGCATGTGGCAGGGAAAAATGAAAGCTATACTGGCGTCTACTTGAGTCACTCAACGATCAACGGGACTACAGGTGATACAGGCGTTCCTCACATTGACTTCATTTTGTTCTATCTTCATCTTAATTTCAAGTAGCACTTTCACCCGCTCTAGTTACCGCTCATCTCGGTTACTCTTCTTTGCGTAATACTTCAAGTTTGAGAAAATGTGCACAGCGATTTATCGTTACTTTTGTGCTCCTTTCTAAGTTTAGAGCAAGATAGAGTCGATGACAAATTTTTTAATTCTTATTTTTGTATGACTCCTCTTCACGTCTACTGTGCGGCTTCTAGCTCTTCTCACATTCTATTCATTTCCTTGCATCCATTGTCTACAAATATCTTCCAACTTTTACGTATGGCTTCGGCTTTTGCTTGAGGATTTCCATTTCATCTTAAATGTGGTAGAATGCTGGTCAAATCGATTCTTGTCGGAGTTCTGATATAGCCGGGCTGGGACGTTCCAAATTGGACTGCAGAGAGTGATTTCTTCCCGGACAAGTCCGGTACCAATTACCCGACTCCGGAGGGATGAGAGGCTTGCTTGGCTCGGGGCTGAATCGAACTAGCACCATGCTCGTGATGACCGATATCACCACCGCTGTGCTATCCGCTCCATTGATGACTATCTATAGATTACAAATGACACATAATTATTAATATGACATAAACTCTGCAGAGGAAAAGCGGGCGAGATAAGGTTATTTCAAAGGAAGAGTTACAAACGTGACAGAAAAGGATATAGGATATTCAATGGTAATTTCCTTCATAGCCCTTCCATACCAAAAGTCTATATTAAAGCAAGTTATACTTTTGAATTAGATTTCTGTTTCTAAAACTATTGACTACGGACGTATTTATCATATTATCGTGTCGCATCTCATTTGTTGAAGCTCCGAAATTTTCAAACATTGCTATGATTTCCTGTGAATTCGGCCAGTTATTCTTCTATTATGAAGTTTCTTTATGCGTTTGTATCGTCGTCGATTACAGGTCTCAAAGAAAGGTGCACATACATTTCATGTCTCCAGTCATTTCGACTTCGAAAAAGTTAACTTTAACTAATCAGCTTTATCCTTAAGAAAATCTTTCGTGAAGAATAGCGGCAGTAATTAGTAGTTGAGAATGTGTGGGCAAATTTTATAAAAGGAAGCAATAAGGCATTCGAAAGTGTTCTCAGTTTTCTGTGAACGCTTTGCTAGTGGAAATTGCACGGTATTAGGCTTTAGAGTGCTTCTAAGTTAGTAGGTGTGTTTTGTGTTTTTTCAACATCGTGCTAGTTTCACCAATCTGGCAGTTGTCATCAGATGAAGGTCTTTCAGTCGCATACACTTGGAGATGAGAGTCATTGCCTGTGAGACAGCAGCGATCTACTCAGATACTTGGATGGTCCGTTTTCACTGGTTGTGCGGGCACCAGCATAATTTCCCTCTTTTCAGAGTTTTGCTGGGCTTGTCATTGCCAGTGTGGTTTCCTAGAGTCTTGAGGTCAGCCAAGCGAAGCGCTGCCCAGGTCGTCACCAGCACAGGCAGTCGTCGCCTTTTGTGGATCAGAGGGAGATTTGCCACCATGCGACTAACTTCGTACCAGGACGATGGTGGATCGTGGTATTGGTTTACTCTTATCTAGGTTTCCTGAAGGAAACGCCGGACTCCTTCTCAGCTTTGGAGACCCTGCCAGAGGGACTAAACCCCGCGCTGTACATCGCAGTGCGACCCCCAGGAACATCTCCCAGCCACGTTGAGGTGGTAAGCCGTTGCGAGGGGCAACAGCGATCGCTAACGAATAGCACAGTGAGCTTTAGTTTAGCACTTGTTAATTCTAGTCAGATGTAAAATTTTGGATTTTGTAGGTTTTTTTCCATTTGTAGATTATCTGCAAACTCTTGGTGTTCGTTTTGCTGCTGATTTCTTCGTCTATGTGATTTATTAGTGATACGGCTTTAGTATGAACCATGCAAATTTCTTTTGGTATTTCGATATGAGAATGCAGCAGATGCAACGTTTCATCGATTCTGCAATATAGATTCATAACGTTTACGGAATTTTTGATGATTTCTCGTTAAAAGGAAGCTGTTGAAAATTGGCAAAATCGGGGAAAGCATTGGAGGTTGAAAGTAATAAGAAGGAGCAAATCAAGAGCTTTGAGGCATTCCTCACCCTTGGCAATATGGCTCCTAGATTTCCATGCTTATTAACCTACTATGAGGGACGTGTACCGCAGTGCTGGTTATAGCGATCTTCACGACAGTGGTGCTTGTTTGACCACGGTTCTGGCCCGTCGAGTCTCTTGTCACTCCGTGGTCGCGAAATGAGTACCAACCTTGTTGCGGAAAGCACACTCTCCGCAGTCCAAGTGGAAACGCTCTAGCTGGGCTCTTCAGGATTCGAGCTCACTCGACTCCACCGGCATTCAACGACGTTCACGACGAACGCAAGATCTTCACGCAGTAGCCGAACATACACGCAGAAGTTGGAAGACCTTCGTGGATGATGGCGGATTCGAGAAAAGAGTTGAATTCAAGAAGTGCTAAGATCGGCACGGTAAATGTAAAATACGGGTCATGTGAAATAAAACGGAAAAAATAACCTATTATTTCAAACAACAATAATTAGGAGCGCGTGCAACGCATTATTTATCTGCCGTAAAAATTATAGAAGGCAAAAAATAAAAAGTAAACTTCGGTGGTTTTTGCGAATGCTTTTCCCAGTCTCTGCAGCTCTGACTGTAACTGATTCTCTTCTCTATTTAAGATCTCTTATCAACCGTCTGCATTAAAGTCCAGGCATGACCCGGTTGCCTGTAGCTCGGGCGATTCGACATTGACACATCAGCTCGAGTGTTTCGGGAGATATATTTCTCTTGCTAACTTTCGAACTCTCAACTTTATTAGTGCTAACGTTTGAATGAGCCGATCGTACTCCTCGTCGATGTTATCAAAAGTGGAATCTTCCTAACAGCCGACTAACGAACTGGATAAATCCCAGTTTGTGGTGGTTTTGAGACTTCTTTTTTTAATTTAACGGTTTTTTTCCTTTCCGCGAAAAATAAAATCTAGGACGATGGAGGTGATGGTCTGATCCCGTATAAGATTTTGGGACAAAAACGATATCGGTTAGGTAGAACCTTCAGTTAACTGTCATGTAGTTTATTTCGTTGAAGTACTGTTAGTCGAGAGACTCTCACCTTCAGCGTTATGCTTACCGCAACTAGAATTGCGAGTTACCATGGATGATCTTTGTCGCCGTGATGAACTCGGAGAGTCGCTCACCCTGGTCGTTCTATTTTAATCCCTGGGTCCCATTGTGACATTCAGACGTTCTTCTGGATCCAATCTTAGCGTTAAATTTTCAATTGATCAGCTTATAGAGTGTGTCCATTCTGAAAGAGTGAAACTTGTCTAAGTCCATATATAATCGACTTCGTCCGCTTCGTAGCTTGATATCGGTTCGTAAACGACGATAATTGTCAAACCTGGTATTGATCCACATCTCTTCAGTCGTAAATGTTTCATTCGAGTTGCAACTTGTTCGAATGAATCGATGTTCATGGACAAACTCGTGTTGACGAGAACACCAACGCCACCGACTATCGCATGTTTCGAGGACCAGTTGTTCTGTGTTATGACGGCGTTGATTTGGCAGCATGTTCTCGTTTCACGCCGTGCGATAACATCGTGTCATATCCTTTTTTTGCCTGATCCCGCTATCGAAGACTCAGGTGCACGTGTACGTGAAGGTGAAGGTTATTTCTTGGAGGCGACTCCTAACCGCTTCCCATATACTCGTGGAATGCAATCCGCATAAACGAGAGCAAACTCACGCACGTCTGTATGAATGCGCCTCCATAAAGAGAGAAGATACGGGCCAATTCGGAGCATCGGAAGTAGAGAGTCCCTCTCCTGGATCCACCTGTGTCTCACAGAAGTAATCGTGCAGTAGCCAAATCTCTATACCCAGTGTTTATCCTGAAATAACAAGGGTAAATAATTGCGAATATCGTAAAATCAAACAGATGTTCATAGTTTTTCTGTTATGTTTGCGATACTGCGACAGAATATTATGCTTTGAAGATAAAAAATTGTTTCCACGCGAGACTGATTTGTATTCATATCCATAGAGACTGTTTACTTTTTCTGATTGCTGTATCTTCAGGATCGACTTGTCTATGAGCGCCGTATGGAATGTGTTTCAAAAAACAACCGATGAATACGGAAATGTGTTGGCCACTTGCACGGTCTGTAGCCGATCACTGAAAGTGCCGAAATCGAGAACGACCACTAATCTTTTGGCTCATTTACGGAATAACCACTGTGATAAACGGATTGGTTCCACTAGACGGCGGTTCGACGCTACGATTCCGAGCTCCAGTGGCGCTTCTGGCACCGAATCTCATGGTTCACGAGCACACAGAAGACTCACACGACTCGTCATGGATGGAGCGCTTCTGCTCGAAGCGACGTCATTGAAGTCGTTCCGTGACTTTGTCAATAGTCTTAATCCTTCGTATCAAATACCATCCATCAGTACGCTTAGAAATATTCTACAAGAGGACTACAGTTGCATCGAGACGATCAATAGAAGATTTCTAGCAGAATCGTCGTCAAAAATCGCACTTACACTGGATTTTCACCCAACATTCAGAGCTCACTGTGGTCTTCTCGTGGTGAGTGGGCACTTCTTATCGCACAATTCAGTGGAGAGACGAAATCTCATTTTAGACTGTGTACCTCTTGAGGCAGAGAGGTTTGTTGTTTTGCTGTGAAATGAGATCTTCTAAAAAAAAGCGTTGACCTATTTTATTTGCCTCTTTATATTCATGTTTCACGAAGGGCGCGTATAGTGCAGTGGTCGGGGCGCCCGGCGACACATGGGGTCAATCCCCGCGCCCTAGGCTCACCAAGCTCTCCATCACTCCATGGTTGGCAAATTGGTACCAGAGTTGCCTGGGAGGACAGCAGTACTGGCTCGATACATCGAGAGGCCACCCCGAGTTATTGTAAAGGCTGGATATGCATTCGAACACCTTCAAACGATGCTTAATGAAGTCGAAAACACGGCCCATCCTTCAGGGATTGATAAACGCCGACAGCTCTACTCTTTATCTATGTTCCATAAATGTAAAATACACAACTTTGCTTAAATGTGACATTTAGTTTTTTTGTTCTAGCCTGTAATATAATACAAAGGATAATGATAAAAGCCTTGAAATACGATCCCCTAGCAAATTTCGGAGAAGTCACAAGTCGGTTTTCAAAAATATCGCTGCGTAGTAGTTTCGAAGTTTTCGAAACTTTTCTTCTCGATCTCGAATTACGTTTCAGTGAGGTTATATTAAAAGTTTAATGAACTGGCGTAATGTGGTAATCTTGTTAGTAATTTAAGAACACTGAATGAATCTTGTTAGCTTAACCTATCAGGCTTAGGATTTTTCGTGCGCAGGTCTGAAGAAAGTAATTAGGTAGCAAGAAGAAGTGGTGAGACAATTCCGAAACTAACAGACTGTGAATTCCTGGTGTTGTAGTAGTTATACAGTTTTTTCTACTCCAATATTATCACTATGAGAAGACACCATGTGTCACTCCTAAAACAAGAAAAGTAGCTTGAGAATTTTCTATTGATTCGAGTGCTTTTTCAAAGCATATGCACTCGTTTTAGTTTTTCCGGAAGTACAGTATCCCAAGCGGTTATAAACTGTTTGGGAAAGGTTAACGTTGATGTCACGCAAATCGCTACTGTCGTCGCCAACGAAGATGAACCAATGCAGGAGGCTGCTCTTTACCTGCACACAAAATTGTCGGTTTCCTTCTATTGTCTCTTAGTTGTTTTCCGACCAAAAATCGTTTCTTCCGTAACATTTCAGCGTTCCTTGTGCGGCTCATAGTATCCATCTCGCCGTGAGTGATACCATTTGTGCAAAAAATTCGTTTAAAGTTTTGGAGAAAGTTCGCAAGCTAGTATCGGAGATGAATCACAACAATATTGCAAAAATGCAATTGAAAAGGTACGAGAAATGCTATCATGGACTAGATTATATAAATTAACTAAGTATGAAATATTTGCAGTCGCTTGAAAGAGTTCAATTTGCCTGAATTCTGTCCAGTACCGGATTCGCCAACGAGGTGGAACTCGACCTATGATTTGATATGTGAAGTGCTCATTACGGTAGGAGCAACAATCCGCTTATTTCAGAAAGAATTCAGCTTCACTGGAAGTTTAATTCAGTGTTGTATTGTTTTCGAAATCGGCGCCGAAAAAGAACTGGTAATGGCTTTATTAAAATAGCTGTATTTCGTAGGAAGTAAAGTAGGAAGAATGGTAGAGTAGAATAGTAAGAAGAGCCTTAGAACAGAGCAGAGAAAAGTACGCTCTGTACATTAACTCTGAAAACTCTTATTATAAATGAAATAATGTACGATGTTTACTTTTTATTTCTGCCTTCTATTATTTTTATGGCAGGGTATTAAGCGAAATACAGCTACAAGATTGCTGAGATATTTGCAAAACTCTGGACCGCAGGTGCCTGTGGTGGGGAATGAACGCGCTATTGTCCTTTCCGGGGAGTAACGCGTTCACCACCACACCATGCGGGTCCTTCGTTACGCCTGTATATCAGTTAGTTCTATTGATCTTTTGCCATCAGCAATCACCCGTGAACGGGATTGATCTGGGGAGCTCACATTGGCATTGAACCCAATTAAGCTGAGGATGTAGTTAAATTCACAATGTTTACTTTTTATTTCTTCCTTCTATAATTTTCATGGCAGGGTATTAAGCGAAATGCTGACGGCACTGATCGATAGAACTAGCTGAGAGACAGGCGAAGTGAAGGACCCGCATGGTGTGGTGGTGAACACGTTACGCCCCGACGAGGACAATAACGCGTTTGTTCCCTACCGCAGCTACCTGCGGTCCGCAGTTTTGCAAATGTCTGAGCAATCTTGTGGTTGAAGTAATATAAATGTAAAACGGAAAGAGAGCAACATGTGAAAAAGGATTAAACTTTAGCCACTTTAATATACTTTAACGCTAACAGGACAGTACACTTTAATTGGTCCAAAATAAAGTAATTGAATTCGAAGATATTCTTTACTTTGGTAATAATTTGTAAGTGCGTCTTGTAAGGAGAATATTTTTTATTGGAATTAATCCTGAAAATGTTCGCATTAAAAATGCACATTGGCTGGTCCCGTCTTCATCTGTATTCATTTGAGTAGATGGCATACTGTGTGCGCTATAACGAAGTGTTTGCCATTGTCTTTCTGCAATGAATAGGAAACGCCTTTCTATGGGAAATTGGTGTCCATGTGCGAATTTCACATATTGGTTTTCGTAGTGATCGTTACTTTGCTCATATCAGTCTATTATCATATCAGTGGGATAAAATGATTCGTTCTCCCGAACCGTAGAGCAGCGTTTTAGTGGCCAGCACTCAACGATGTACTAGAGAAGTTGAATCAGCCGTTGTTGGAAATCGATGACATGAGGTTTCTGGAGACAATTCGAGCTTTTCTGGAGCCGTTCAGCACACTGACAAAGCAGGTTGGAAGTTAGTGAGGTGCTCGGACTTGGTCCTTTGTATTGCTGTTCAGGTGTGCTCCCGGGATGCTACATGCTCTGTCTATTTGGCCGTGGGTTGTATTCTGATAACGACAACGGAGAAGTGGGTGTTTTTCCTTTTCAGCTTGACCCTTTACCAAATACACATTTGTGTGCATTGGTTTCAATGCCTATTGAACAGTTTGAATCATAGTCATTATGCATTAACTCCTAGAGAACTTTCCTAATTAAGATTAAGAATCCACACATTTTAGGCAACAAGGTACAGGTTCTATTCTATCATGACGTCATTCCTGTTTTCTGGTGCCACGTTACCATTATTGCGTTAATCTTTTTGAATCTCGATTTTTTAAGTTAAGTTTAAGAACTTGAAAATAGACTAGCTAAAATTTTGAAAAAGTTACGAGTACCCTTAGAAAGGGAACAAAATTTTTCCTTGAAATTTCTCAACTGTAAAAGTTCTCAAATACTCTAGTCACTGAAAATGGGAACGGTCGCTAACATGTTGATTTCATCTGTGTTGTCTTGAACTAAGCACACTAAATGCGGACTTGGTTTTGTTCTTTGACTTTATTTGATTTTGAAGGTTTACATCGCAGTCATTCGGAGAAGCTCAGCGTTTTGGTCTCTGTTTGCTCGAGAACACATCGAAGTACTTTAATCCATGGCTAAATGACGAGTTTCTACAGACAGCCGCTTGTCTCGATCCGAGATTCGCGTACCTCGAGACAATACAGTCCATGAAGAGCTGGATGGAAACTGTGGAAAAATTCGTCACTAATCAAGGTGGGACGTGCAAACATTGTCCATGTTGTCTTTGTCAAATTTCCTTGAAAACGTATAGTTTCTCTTTGTAGATCCTTAAACTATCTGACTGTTTTGGAAACACCAAGGCTTTTTTTTACATTTAGCCTTGGCTTGGACGATCAGTATCTTGCTTTTTGATAACTTTTTACAAGGTTATTAATTTATTGCGGTTCACGTTTCGGCGACATCGTCAGTGTATGAGTCTTCGTGGTCGCATCGAGGCAAATCGAATGGATTGGAACACCGCGTAAAGACTGCATTACTTGTTGTAGACACTCGACTTGAATCGTTGCAACGCTAAAGAAGGCGATAGTGTCGAACCATTAGTCACTCCCCTAACAACAGTGTAAACTTGTGAGCATAACTGATTCATATCTTTTGAAGCTACGTTTTAGTCACTTTCATTACAGTTAACATAAGCTCGAGCAAGAATAGGGACGTTTTCCAAGTGGGGCAGGAAGCGTTTCTTCAAGAACTGCGTCACCAGCAAACATCAGTATGGGAGATCCTTCGAGAAAGTCGTGCGGAATCAGGCGTGAAGAGTTCGAATTCGTGGAATCACAGTGATGAGCTTAGAGTAGGTTTGGAAATCCTCACCTAACAAGATTTACTTCATTTCATGTGATACTTAGGCAGAGTTGCAACACTATTGTGGGATTCTTGGTAGCTCACGGCCAGCTTTCGGCACAGATCCTCTTCACTGGTGGCGGGCGTTCTCAAACGAATTTCCTCTACTATCAAAAGCCGCGTTGGGCTACCTAGCCACACCTGCAACTTCTGTGGATAGTGAACGATTTATGAGGTACAACGGGTCTTTCTCTTAAGTTTTAAATATTTCTGATTATGTCGTTATTAACAGCTTTTTATTTACCGCCTATTCTTTTTTTGCCAGGGTATAATGTGAAATATAACTACAATGAACAAACACACTATTACTCTTTCCGGGAACTAGCGTGGTTCTCCACCACGGCAAGGGTAAGAGAAAGGTGAATCGAAGGGCCCGCACGGTGTGGTGGTGAACGCGTTACTCCCCGGAAAGGGTAATAGCGTGATCGATCCCTACCGCAGACACCTGCGGTCCGGAGTTTTGCGAGCGATGCAGCATCCTTGTGGTTATCTCGTTATTATAAATTGTTATGTAATTGTTATGTCAAGCACATAGTGATGGCACTTATGTCGCTCAACAAAAACTTTACAGTGGAAAATAGTAGAGGAATTGTTAAGCTAATTAAAGAGCTGTTATTGCAGTGAGTAGTATTAAGGAAAACTTTAACAATATGTCTGTTTAGTCAGATCTGCTATAATTTGCCAATATGAACTGATTTAAAAATTCGTTAAATGTAGTGCAATTCAATTCGCAAAACATTTTCGAAAGGTGACAGCAATGTGTTTATGCACTGGACCATACTAACATGTAGTAAATAGTAGAATGCAAACCACTCACACTCACAGAGCTCTAGAATAAAATCGCTTCTATAATCCTCTCAAGTTGGTAGCTCGTCAAGTTCTCTAGTTAGAAACTATCGCCCAATTTCGGAAAACCAGTGCGTCCGTAACGGCTGTAAATTAAGCTCGGTCCCAAGTGGCAGGGCCGCTAAATACCGCGCTTCGCGAACCTGTTAATGGATTCGAACGTAGGGCTCATCTGTAAAGGATTATCCAAGATATTCTACACCCGCTCCACTTTGGTGTACAGAATAGGGTGAATTTCACACGAAATATAATTGAGGTTGAACTCAATTTGCAGTAATATCTATGACGCGGACGCAGAGAAATGATTTAAGTTTGAGGTTTTAGCAGCAACAGTAAAACGCATAATACAGTTTACCTCGGATCTTTGAGTAAGACACTGATTCCTGAGAGAACACGAATAAAAGAGGACAGAACGCCTACGTTTTAACCAGTAAATTTCTTCGAATTGTTGGGTCTACACGAGGTTATTATTACAACTTTCATTTGGCTGTGTCGATGTTTTCGTCCAGTACAGCGCACGTTTTATTCTAATATTTAAAAGTAGGAGAATAGTTGAAAGGGATCGCAGTATTTTAGGACTGTAATGACTATTTGAAATTGCGCTGACATTACGTGTAAGGCTTCAGGAACGTAGACTTATGGGATGTTATTTCAGTTTGAATTCAGTACCAACTAAAGGGAGGAACTTTGGTAGTACAATTAGGAAATTCGATCGCCTTTTGATGACGTTGAAGGCAAATGCGAACAAGGATGTCAGCAGGTACGGAGTGAATTCCTGTAGGCGATACTAGACGGGGTTGCTTTCTTTCTGGAAGCGATTGCTGTAGTTTTCTAGCTATAGTTTGCTTTCTGTATCCCCTCGCATTTTTCGTCATGGAGTTATGGAACAGTTAGATAAAAAGCTAGTGTTTCAAGCATGTTGAGTAGCCACAGTCACACATACATGTTTTCTTGATTTATTAGTTCGTGATTTCATTTTGTGTAGGTGTCATTGTAGTTAACATCATTGTCGATCAATAATTGATTATTAAGCTTTGCAGAGAATGCAAGGCTTGGTCCAGCGCAGACATTTATAAATACAGCTTCGAAGAATCATCAAAGAGCGACTTCCATGAGTATGACGTCGAAGAGGACGCAATACGGTCATCATGTAGATCTGACGAGGAAAAAGATATCACTGAAAGCATTAAGCCGCTGCTGTCGTTCTCAAAAGACTTTTTAGGAAATATGGAAAGTAACCAACTGGAATGACGATGCTTAATCGAAATAATCTCGTGTTTTGACCTGTGGTTTTTACGCATTTGTAGGAAGCTTGCTCGATAAATCATTAGAATTATTCCCAAAACCGACTTTCTGTTAACCTCGGTATTGATTGATAATTCGATGTTTTTCTTCAATAAGCAGGCAAGAGCTTGTTATTGTAGAATTTATTAGGTTACAATAGCTGACGCTTCGGCGGTTTCGCCTTCCTCAGAGCCTGGAAAGGTCAAATCGAGATGCGATCTACTCAACCAAACACTTTCATAACCCCAGCAGATAAAACTTAACAAATAAATTTGTATTCGCGTAAGAAACAGCTTCATTTAAACAGCTGTCGTTAATTTATTGTAAGTATTTAAGTTAGTTGGGGCAGACTTTGGTCAGACCGACTTCGGGACTCCAGGGGACCATAATGGCTTAACCAGCAAATCTCCGAAAAGTGGAGATTATGCTGGGGCCCGCACAGCTAGTGAGGATGGGCCATTCAAGTATTCAAGTAAGTATTTAAGTTAGTTGGTGGATAGCAATCGCACAGAGTCATACATGGGAGAGGACAGTGCCTGTGTCAGGTCACTGGATCGGCCTGAAGTACGGCGCCAGGTCATGCGTGTTGAAAAGACACTCCTCCTTGCGGTTCACTTTTCAATTTTTGGAATTGATCCAAAACGCTCTAAGAGTTTTGCGCGCTGATGTTGTCGATTCCTGCGTGAGGGTAGTGACTCCTACTTCAAAATCTTCTCCGTTGTGTTCCTGCATCCTATTCGCGCCTAGTGGAGTGTTTGGTTTTAACTTAGATTTACCGACTAGGTGTTCCTTTATGCGGACGCAGAGCGGTCTACCCGTTTCGCCAACGCATTCGTCTCCGCACGCTTTACAAGAGATAAGGTAAACTGTAACCGAACTCATGCAATCACCGTCTATACCGTTAGGGCAAATTATGTAGTTTTTCGTTGTACATAGACGGTCATATAGACGGTTGCGAACTAGCTGGCGTCTTAGAGTGTCCGATGGTATTTCTATCACTCATACGGAATTCTCTAGACCGGCCCTTATTAAGCAACGTTTTATGGCTGCACTTATTTCGTTCGAAATAAAGGGCAAGAGGACCGGAGATTTGTTTTCGCTAGAATTATCGCTCTGGGGCATGGGTTTCCTCTATGCATTTGCGAGAAGGTACAGTTTCGTAGCCATTTGAAATGCTTATTTGGGGCTCCAGTTTCGAGGATTCTTCCCTCTGGTCTCTACCTGTGCACACGCTGGCAGCGGTTCGAAGCATATTTCTTATAAGCGCCCTTTTAGTGTGTGAGGGGTGAGAGGAGAGGTAATGAACCGCAATATTCTCTTACTGCTTGGCTTTCGAAACCATTTTGTGTTGTAGCCGTTTTCGGATAGGTTAATTTGAAGGTTTAGAAATGGAAGCCAGTTTTTTTTCGGTTTCTCGAGGATAAATTTTATGTACTCTGACTGTTCGTTCAATAACTCAAAACATTTGTCCATTCTCCTCTTGTGTGGAGCACATGACAAAACAATCATCTATATACCTACAGTAGAGTAATGGCCTGAGATTGATTACTGGTGCTTCCACTTTGGACATAAAGGCTTTATTCTACTTTATCAAGACCCATAAGTTAATATCCTTGCTGATTATCTGGCGTCTATAGACCCCTCGCGGATGGCTTGCATTGCGGAGTCGTTTGACACGTTAGTGTAAAGGGCGGTAACGTCGATCGACTCCATAACGTACGTGCTTTTGGGACGTGCGTTGCCCAGACGATCTAGGAGCATTTGGGTGTTCGTGAGATGGGCTGGTATGTGCTTAAGCTGACTGAGAATTAGATTTATAAACTAAGCAATTCTATCCGTAGACCCGTCTACACAACTGATAATGGGTTTAACTTTAAAGGTAGAGTGGTCGGTAGGCGCCAGACAGATAATGTGCGGTGTACAGTGGGGATTCATCTCCTGGCAGGGTCTCCTAAGCTGAGAAGGTTTCTAGTAAACCAATACCAGGATTCACTACCTTCTTGGTACCAAAGTCGCATGGTGGCAAATCTCCCTCTGATCCACAAAGGCTGGTACTGCTTGTGGTGGTGAATACCTGGGGCAAACTTCGGCCAGGCTGACCACGGGACTCCAGGGAACCACAATGGCTTAACCAGCAAATCTTCGAATAATGGAGATTATGTTGCGGCCCTCACAACAAGTATGAAGTATCAATTATAAAACATCGCTTAGGAAGGGCTGGTCTACAGAATTCGATATCGTAATGGTGACTGAAATTCCACCAAGCAGTCTAGAACGCCATCTAATTCATAATCTTCTCTATGATCGTCTATGTGCAATGCAAAATTGCATAATTTGATCTAACGGTACAGACGGTGATTGCATGAGTTCGGGTACAGTCTATCTGATCTCTTGTAAAGCATTTGGGGCGAAAACGTTGGCGAAACGGGTGGACCGCTCTGCGTCCGCATAAAAGAACACCTAGTCGGCAAATCTAAATTAAAACCGAGCACTCCACTAGGCGAGCACAAGATGCAGAAACACAACGGAAAAGATTTTGAAGTTGAAGTCACTATCCTCACGCACGAATCGAAAACATCAGCGCGTAAAACTCTTGAAGCGTTTTGGATCAATTCCAAAAATTGAAAAGTGAACCGCGAGGTGGAGTGCCTTTTCATCACGTGTGACCTGGCGCCATACCTCAGGCTAATGCAATGACCTGACACAGGCACAGTCCTCGCCCATGTATTACTCTTTGCGGCTGCCATCCACCAACTAACTTAAATACTTACAACAAAAAAGCTGTAGCTGTTTAAATGAAGATGTTTCTTATAGAATGCAAATTTATTTGTTAAGTTTTATCTGCTAGGGTTATGTTTGGCTGAGTAAATTGCATCTCAATTTAACCTTTTCAGGCTCTGAAGAAGGCGAACCAGTCGAAACGTCAGCTATTGTATCCTAATAAATCCTATAATAACAACCTCGTTTCTGCTTATTGAAGAAAAACACGCATTAGAATTATGTTTGACGGTGTGACAGCTGGGTAGAGTGTGTCCATCATGGGGATTGCAGCAAACCGCTTCTAAACAGTGCTAGTCGTGGAAGTGCTGGGTGAATTATTGCTACGGTCGGAGCACCGTTGTAAAATGAGTGGGGACTTCAAGTGCTTCTGTCCAGTTCTACCCAAATGCCACTGTTTAACGATTTCTGATATGGTTCTGAGTAGTTACTTAAATTTTGGCAGTTTTGATGGTGTAACTCTGTAACCCTTGCTTTCGAGTGTTACTGATGTGTGCACCCGGCTGTGTCAGCAGTTAATCGAAACCTTTCTTTTATTTAATCAGTTAATTTATGATTATTGTTGTTGTTATCATTATCATTATCATGCGGACATATGCAAGCTATTTGTGCAAGTATCAATTTGTTGATCATTTCGAATATAGGAATGCGTAGGTGTAATTTCATGGATCCCAACATGTTTTTTTCGTTTACTGAATGACGTCATAATTCTTTTACGTGATTGAGTTCGCGCGAGGTTGGTCTAAAACTTTTTTTCGGCTAACATTCCGATGTCTTCGTCTTTTCGGAGCCGACACCATTCGAGAAGACGGTCCACAGGTTATTTCCCACACAGTGTGGGTGTTCCTTGTTACATCGATCCGAATTCACTGAAGCGGAGCAGTGCTCAGATTGACAATCTCACTCGTGGGTGTCCTTTGCAAACTATGGATGCTGATCCCTTTCCGCCATGCAATATTACCTTCACAGAGATATATGCATTCTCTCATACATTTCCGACTAAGATAAATGACTGATAGTCCTTCAGTTTTGGAGGAACGATGCTCTTTTAACGCCAAAAATCAAGCGTTCTTTTAAAAGTTGTACTTTATTACTTCCTCTAATAAATGAGTCGTAGAGTACCAAAAACTTCTTATCATTTCAATTCCGGACAAAAAATTGTTGGTTAGTCGTCTTTATGACTTTTCGTCAGGGAAGGGTATAGCGCGGTGGTTAGATGCGCCCTGCAATACACATGGTTTCGATCCCAACGCCTCAAGCTCACCAAGCTTGCCATCCCTACAAGGTTACCACGTTGGTACGAGACTTGTCTAGTAGTACGACAGTACCAGCTCGATACATTGATTGGCCACCGCGAGTTATTTTAAAGGCCAATCATCTCTAAGGAAGGTTAAATTACCCAACCAGCAATAGGCTAACCGTAGTAGCCCCGCACGTTAGGTGCTCCGAACTGTGATGTCGGACGGTGGGACTGTCAGTGAGAAGTCACAAAATCCTTGGTTGCGCGGAACCTCATTGGAACTGGGCCTGAAGAACATAGCGACGACATTGTTTTAACGTTTTGTTTTCTGCCTTCTATAATTTTCATGGCAGGTTACTAAGCGAAATACAACCACAATGTTGCTGAGATATTTGCAAAACTCTGGACCGCAGGTGTCTATGGTGGGGACCCGCATGGTGTGGTGGTGAACGCGTTACTCCCCGGAAAGGATAATAGCGCGTTCGTTCCCCACCATAGACACCTGCGGTCCAGAGTTTTGCAAATATCTCAGCAACATTGTGGTTGTATAGCGACGACACTCCATTGATATTGTATGTTACTGAGCAAGTGTGATACTAAACCAATCACCTCAGACGCAATTCTTCACCCTATTCTTGAAGCCGCCAACCACATCAAATGTGATCGTCCTACAAGAGACGAGAAATAGAAAGGATGACACATTCTCGGTCTTCGATCAAGCAGAAGATCGCTGTCATCAATTGCTACGTGTCGATCGATGAAGGTGATAAGCACGAATTGGATACATTATATTGACAGTTGAGGAATTTATCTGAAATGGTAAGTCTTGCTATAAATTTGTTCTCGGGGACTTCAATGCCAGAATTGGAAAGGGCAACGAATACTGGATCGGAAAATTTGGATCAGGAGAAAGAAATGAGAGTGGAATCCGTCTTACATGGCTCCTGTA